TTTTGCCTGTAGTGACCATGTCTGTGAACGTTACTGTATATATGTGCCGTCGCCGAAGGGCCCTTGAGTCTAAAGATTAGCAACGCAGTCAGTGGTGAAAAGCCCGCCAGTTTTACAGCAGATAATACTCACATGCCCTCCAATCCCCAAGAATTGCTCACAACCTCAAACCGAAGCCGCTTTGGGACGTGAAACTCCTTCAAGCCTAAACCCGTATAGGAATTCTAAACCTATAGCACTACTAAGCTCTATGTTATAGCCCATAAACCGTACTAGACCCAAAAGCCCCCCTGAGAACCATCAACGATCCGAGGAACAGCGTGACTGTGGAGCTGCCTCTCACGGAAACCTGTGCTGCAGTAAAGGCGGCTTGACTTTCAATCAGGGCTCAAATCAAAGATCGTGGAGGTACTGTGTGAGGTACTGTGTGAGGGTGTTTGTGTGTGTGTGTGTACTGGTTGTACATGAGCATAGAACATTGATTGCTGATAAAGTTGTGTAGGTGTTGTTGTTTCGCTCTCCCTCCGTAGAGATGTACAAGTATGAAGGCTTTATGGGGATACGAAGCCTGAGCCAGATCCCAATAATCAGGCGAAGCTCGTGGCGATGGGAGTCCGCTCGATCCCTGCAAATCGCATGATGCTTCCGGCCTGAGCTTTAGGGTTTAGGGTTCGGGCCTGAGGTTTGGATTCAGGGCAAGTGGCTTCGGGGCTGTGGGCTTCGGCTTAGGTCCTACAAACAGTCGTGGCATGATGTCGGAATTTGCCTGCATTAAACATGCCATGACTAATGCCCTCGAATGGAGGAAGAGTGTTGATTTTTGCCCAAGGCTTAGAAGTAGGTACGGAGTTTCTGGATCTTGGACAGCTCAAATAAGAGCTTACTGTTACTGGTAGACGCTCCGGACCCAAAATTGGGGGAGACCGGGTTCAGTCAATAGGGATAGTGGCAATAAGGGTCCGACATGGGGTCGGCGCGAGGCCCTGCATTTTGTAATCTTCTGAGGTCGATCTCCTGGGTGCGATTGCGAAAGCATGCTGTGGGCTCCCTGAACAGACAACCTAGGTTTAGAATCCTTAAAGGGTCATCCGAGGCGGAGCATAGAGGGGACGAAGCGCATCTACCAAGGCTGCACAATGAGCCCGTGGGCTTCTTCCTGAAGGAGCAACTTCTTGTAGACATCGCGACCTCCTGTAAATCCCGTTGCAGAAGATATTGCGGTGTACCGAACGCGGTTTACTTTATAGGGAGAGCTTGTTGTTGCAAAAGTGTTCCGGGCAATATCCTGTCGTCACGTCATAGGAGCGCTTCACCTTCGCCTATTACAACCTCAGCGACGGCATCACGCTGACCCTTTCTCAGCGCAAGCGTGCCGGCAGCAAGTTTCGCCGTGACCACACGGTCATGCCCAAGCGGCCAAAGGCCCCACCTCCTGAGAAGAAGCCCGAGCCGGCCCCAGGTGCAAAGGCAGGGCTCCCATCTCTCCCTGGCCTCCCCGAGCTTCCCAAGCTTCCCAGCTTGCCTGGTTTGCCCGGGATGCCGGGCATGCCGGGTATGCCCGGCCTTCCTGGAATGCCAGGAGCAGGACAGACAGGCCCCACAGGAATCCCCCCGAAACCCGGCATGCCAGCCGCGACTCCGCCACCCAACATGAGTGTGCCAGGTGGAATGCCCAGCCTCCCAAGCCTGCCTGGCCTCACAGTGCCGGGAGGTATGCCTGGAAAAGCCCCAGGAATGGCACCTCCCATGCCAGGAGGACCAGGTATGCCAGGAGGCGGCTATCCCAAGATGGGCGGTATGCCTGGCATGCCAGGAGGTATGCCTGGAAGCATGCCGGGAGGCATGCCAGGAGGCATGCCTGGAATGCCTCCTGGTCCACCAGGTGGAATGCCGGGCGGGATGCCCAAGATGGGAGGAATGCCGGGCATGCCAGGAATGCCCGGCATGCCAGGAATGCCACCCCAGTTCTGATGAAGATGCAGAAGTGGCTTGCGGAGTGAAGCGCGGTATCTGTACACTGTTGAACGGGTCTTCTTCTAACGAACCGGCCCCCCCGGTGCTGACATCATGAAAGACATGAAGCCTACAACGGTAATGAGGTAATGCAGCTGCCAGAGAAGAGCTGGTTCATGAAGAAGCACCCATGACGTCCTAAACAACTTGCTCCGGCAGCAGGATCAAAAAGCAGCGGTTTCGCAGGGCAAAGCGAGTTCATCACAAAGCCCTTGAGCCATACGGAGCTTCAGTATGTTACCATCATACGGGGGTGTAGGGACAGTGTACGTTATCATCCGGAGAGTCGCAGCCTAGCAGTCCTGGCAGATGTAGTTGAAGCTGGCGGCTAGTTGCACAGGTGCTGGACAGGTTGCACTGCATGGCTGTAGTGACAGAGCGCTGTGCTGCTGCTAAAGCCAAAACCCCCAAACTTACACCGATGAAAGCTTAAACTATTAAACCCTGACCCCAAAGCCGTCGCCTTGAACCTTTAACTCGGAAGGACATAATAGTCCAATGACCTTGCAATGCAGCTAAAGTCTGGCCAGAGGCAATGAAGTCATCCAAGAATCTAATACAGTCCTTGCCTGGCTTGTTCGTATCGTAGCTTGCAACCTGATGGCTCAGCACGAAGCGCTCACCTAAGACTCTCAGCCATGACATGACAGGGCCAGACATCACGACCGCGCCTGGCATCTGTTCACAGAGATGCCGAAGGCCTCGATCCTGCAGGCGGCCTGTGGATGTGACGAGGTTTTACATGGGATTCATCGCACCCCTCGACGAAGCTTTTTCGGGAAAGGGGGTAGCTCCATGGAAAATGCAGTGTTGAGCCAATTGACAAACGAGTCGCCACAGCAAAGAGAGGGTTAAAGGCCCCTGGAGTTCGCTCGGATGAGCTTCGGAAGAAGTCCCACCGCCTGTAAAGCAGCAGACCACACTGATTATACGCGAGCTTTGAGTGCCTGCCAGGACCGGTACAGCTACAGCGGTGCCATGAAAGTTTGCTCGGAGCTCCAGCAGTGGGCCTTGGTCTTCAGCTCCTCCGCTTGCGGTTTTTTCAGTAGAAGCCAGAACCTTTGGAACAGAATTCACGTACTCCGACAAACCACAAAGTTCGGGAGAACCATCATGCGCCGTCGGTTTTTGTCATGTGTCCAGCTGGTTTGCTTGTGCTCTTTCGAGTTCCCTGGGCAAGTGGAAACATCTCTTCGCCCGAAGCATTTCCCGAGTCCGAGTGCAGGAGCCATCTATCATAAACACCTTGCAAGTAAGACGATGTTTTGAGGTGCTTGTTTGCTCGTGCCAAGGCCAAATCCGAACCTGAACATGCAACCCTATAGCCCATGCTCTATGACGAGAACTCGGGACAACAGCTTTCTCCCCATGTTGCAACGAGGGCTGCAATGGTAGAGCGCATGCTACTTGTGCTCCAAGTACAGAAAAAACAAGCCCGTTCATCTGAAGCCCTAATTTGGAGGGTACAGTAGTCTTGGTCATTCGGCATGGGGAGATCTGATGCCAACTCAACCCGGACGCTGGCTGAACGGATCACCAAAGCCTGGAGTATCCGAGTGATAGCGTCAAGCAGAGCAGCTCAGGTTTGCTTGAGGAGCCGCTTTGTGCCTTCATTTTGTGGCTGGGTGGCCGTGTTCAGGTGTTTAATATAGGCATAAGGGCTTTAATAGTTACCTACACTATAACCTACCCTGATTATTAAGGCCCCAACAGTAGCGTGTTTGCTTGGGCGGGCTTCGCGTAGACGACGTCTCTGGGACACCGCGAGAAACAGGCCGAGTGCGATATTTTCCCGCAAAACCGAAGAATGCCTGTTAAAGGCCAAAGCGTGCGTAGCCTGCTTGGCTTGGGCTTGAGTTGAGTTGTTTGTTTCCGGCTGAAGGGCTGGATTCAAGCCTTGTTTCTCGAGATGTCACATCTGATGAGCTGTCGAATAGTGAGACTACAATACTGCTTTTATAGTTATCAGTGGTCTTGTAGTTCTACAGAGCTTGTTTGGAACCAGACTATTTCTGTGCAGGATATGAAGACACGCAGCATCCTGCGGGACGAGGTCGTCTACAACACCAGCCGCTTTTCCCGAAAATTTTGAGAGGGCTCATGAGTCATGCCGCATACTGTTGAGACTTGCCGTATATAAAAAACCACAATAGGTCAATAACAAAGTACATGCACAACTAAATCTGTAAAAAATGTATTTTTTTGGTGTTTATGTCTGTCTGTCTGTCTGTCTGTATGCATGCATGTATGTGTGTACATACGTACACACACATATACATATACCTATACGTATACGTATACGTATACGTATACGTATACGTATACATATACATATACATATACATACATATGTGTATATATATATATACATACATACATACATACATACATACATACACATATACTACATCTATCTTTATATACACAAACATATGTATACACATGCTGTATACATACACATGCAAAAAGACTATTGATTAGATAGATAGATAGACAGGTGGGTAGGTACGTCGGTGGGTGGGTGGGTGAAAGATAGACAGATAGAAAAGGTAGGCCGAGAGATATAGATATGGCTATTTGGATGTGTTTTAGCTATTTGTATGTGTCTTGTACATGGTGAGTGTTTTTGTTTGTTTTTTTTTTTGTGTGTGTGTGTGTGCGCGTGTTTGGGTTTCAATTTGTTGAACCCAAGCAGAACAGATCACACATGACGTCACGAATGCTGTTCCGTCGATATGGTCCTTGACTGTTGTGCAGCACGGGTTTTGCAGAACCTGTTTCCGTGGCGCATCAGGGACCCTGAGTTTCGGCGTAGAGGCCCGTAGGCCCGCAGACACGGCCCGTAGAAGCCCGCAGGGACCCGGGCCTCATTTAGGACCCTTCTCTGATTCTCGAGAGCTTTCCCATCAAGGCTTAACAAGTATACTTCTTTGCCTGAGCGCTATAAGTAGTTATCGGTCCGCACCAAGAGGCATGCCTTTGCAACTTTAGCTTGTCTTCCGAAAGCACGCGGGGTTGGGAGTCTGGACAACCCTGAAACCTAGCTACGACATGTCGACGTGAGCTTCTCTGTTTGAGTCGAACCTTCCACCAAGATCTTGGGGTGTAACTGTACGTATTCGTTCAATCGGAAACCAGATGCAGGACGGTTTGATGTGCTGTTTCGAGTTCCATCTTCAGGATATAGGAGTTTCAGATATCAAGAGACCCTTTGAGTTGCGAGTGGCAAAAGCGATCCTCACATACGCCCGACAGGATCCCTCTTCTAAGGACACTGAACCCCAAGCCGTAAACCCTGTACGAACCTCAGATGCCTGTCCAGGCATCAGCGCCTGCGAGCACGACCCAAGTCTGCCCTATACCTTGACAGGGTGGGAAGTTTAGGGTTCTGGGTTCCTAGGCTGTTTGTCATTGTGCAAAAGGTGTTCGGGTTTGGGGCTTCGTTTTGTGTTTTTCATATGTTTTGGAGTTGTATACCAAAAGGGTTACAAGGGTCACAATTACCAGGGGTTTGGGGTTTACGGCTCTTCCAGGGCTTTTCGGGTTTAGGGTTTAGGTTTTTTGGGGTTCCTGACTGCAAAAGAAGTGTTGTCAGGGTCTTTAGGGCCTACACAGGTTTGGTTCCCAGCGGCTCAAGTATACAACAGGAAATTCCTAAACTGCAAAGCGTAGGAACGCAATGTGGTAGGGACTGTTAAAGAAGCATTGTTGATCGATGCTGGGTCTTTCAGGCAACCCGAATCCGAGTGACAAGCTTTTCGCGCCGCAGCCGAAGAGTTGATAGGCTCCTGCTAAGGGATGTCTCTCATCGTTCCCTCTGCTGCAAAACGGGGCGGGTTGCACATCGGAAGAGACAATTTGGCTGGATAGTTGCCATTACTCCGACCTTTTTCTCCGCCTCAAACTTCCCAACAAACCTTACGCCCCAATACTACCTAGACGACTCTGTCAGCTGGGCGGGTGGGGAAAAGCTCTACCTAGGCCCTGCTGCTAGTACTCCTCAGAAACCCTGAAGTTCGTAAACTACTCGTAGATCATAGACCCTAAACTACTCGTAGATCATAGACCCTGAACTACTCGTATATCATAGACCCTAAAGCGAGCTGGTAGCCTCGACTCTCGGGTTTTTTAAGGAGAAGTGGGAGCTCGGACTGGAGCTCTTCGGCTACCTGGCGGAAAACCCATCCTGGGACTTAGGGGTTTTTGGGTTTTTTTTTTCATGCCTTTGGGAGTTCAGGGTTTAGGGGCTTCGGGTTGAGGCCTGAGGAGTTTGGGGTTTAGAGCTGCTATAGCAGCGAGCTTCTGTGATTGAAACCGGTACCTCAAAGGCACCTCAGGGGCAGCGTCTGGATTTCCACGGAAGCTTTGGAGTTTTCGTGCCAGGTATAGGATAGAGAGGGCTATGCATGAACGACAGGCCTGTGCCACCGAAGCTTTGGCAACAAACCAGTGAAACTCGTGAGACCCGCCCAAACTCAAAGCCTGGTGTTGCCTTGCCAGGATAGAGGTCGCACGTCCCGAGCCAGAAAAACCTTACGGCGCGGGCTTGAGAGATTGTTGGGTAGGATCGGGTCCAGTTTG